AACCCCGGGTATCGGTCCGCAGCCTGTTAGGAACAGTGCCGCACAGCAGGAGGCGAGCGAGGCCTCAGCTGCTGCTCCCCGTCGCTCCCCATAGCTCGCATTACTGCCTGAACCATCCCCCACCACACCCAACCCCGTCCGTAGAAAAATTGTCTTCCACGAAACCAGTCCCTGGTCCCAAGATGTTGGGGACCGCTGTCATAGAGTAAAGCCTCCAAGTTCTGGGTGAGAATAATTTCGAAACTAGCATTTCTATGTAAGTCAAGCTACTAATGAAGTGTGAAGGCAAGATTCAGCCTTTCAGGGGTATACAGTTCAGAAGCCTCGTGAGACGGTCCTAAATAGGGTATTTTTTTTTTTCAATTAAACATGGCAGGTTGAACATATATTTACTTCCTTTACCTTCAAATAAAATTACAGTTAAAGGATTTTTTTTAAAGATAAAAAATATAATGATAAGGAGATTGAGAGAAAAAGGCTGAAAAGAGATGGTCACAAAATTTCAGGACCGGTAAAGCAGAAGATAGGAGAAAGCCAAATGTCTACAGGAGGGAATTTCAGCAGGCAAGGTCATTTACAGCACCCTGGAAAGGCTCAGGAACTTAAGGATCCAGATGCTTCCGTCAGTGGAATGGTTGACAGTTGGTATAAGAAACAGTCAGAGGCTTAGATGGCTCTGCAGCCAGGCAACAACTCTCTGCAGGGGGCTCCAGATCGGAAACACCGGCGACAACTGAGAACGGAGACTAAGTATCTATGCTGAATGGTGACCGCCCCTCCCCAGGTCCCTCGTCCACGTGCGCTGAGAAAACTACTCTCACCCGCTCAGAACAGTTTGCTAGATTCCTCTCTGAGGAAATAGATCATCCAAGAAAATGGCTGCAGGTACCAGCAGCTGCGATAGCCAAGTCCCTGTCCAATCACTACCTTGACCTGTGAGTGCCCATCAGTGCTCACAGAGCTTCCAACCAGCTTCTTCATACTCACTCATAAATAGAAATGGACAGCCCAGTTCAACCAAACATTTGAGGAAAACCATTGACAAAGCAAGAGGGAAACCAGAATTAAACAGAAACAAGCAACATAACAAAACTCAGGCAATAAACACTGCCAGGGTCAGAAGAGATGCAATGATATCAATCATGAAATAAGAACACAATATCCTAAAAAAGAACATTCAGAGAATTAAAAGCTCTTGTAAATTAAAAAGTTTGATAGTAGATATATGGTATGAAAACTTGGAAGGTAAAGTTTTGTGTCATTTTCCCCAGAAAGTAAATAAAAAAATTAAAGATACAGAAATTTGGAGACAAAAGATAGGAAATTAGAGGATCAGTCAAAGAGATCCAACATCTGAGTAATGGGAGTTCCAGAAAGAAAGTGCAAAAAGAAAAACCAGAAGGGAGAAAATAAGCAAAGAAATAACACGTTAAAATTTTTGAACTTAGCGCAGGGATTTCAGAAGTCACTGAGTGCCTGGCTCATTAGTTGAAAAAGAAAAGAAGACTCACAACAAAGCATGATACCATGAAATTCTAGATCACTGAATACATGGACGAATCTACAAGCTTCCAGAGAGGAAAAACAAAAAAAAGTAGGTGACATGAAAAGTCTCCGTAATCAGAATGGTATCAGACTACCTAAAGCAACATCTTGACACTGATGATGACAGAGCAATGCCTTTGAAATCCTGAGACAAAACGTTTTCCAAATGAAAATTCTATATCCAATAAAATTATTAATCAAATGTGAGGCTAGAAAAAGGATATTTTCAGACATGCATGATATAAACATTTTTCACTCTTTGCATATTTTCTCAGGAGGTATAGGATGAGATGCTCTAGATAAACGAGAGTTAAAACCAAGAGAGAGGATCCAGGAAACGGGGAATTCAAACCAGGAGAGAGATGACTGGGATGGCCAGAGCCAAGATAAGGGAGATGTAAGCTTGACAGCTGCGCAGCAAGCCTGGAGGGCAAGGAGTAGGAGGCCTGTCACCAAAACAAAACAACCAAAGGAAAAAAAAAAAAACAATGAAATTGGAAATTCCCTGGCGGTCCAGTGGTGAGGACGCAGCGCTCTCACTGCCGTGGCCCAGGGTTCGATCCCTGGTCGGGGAACTAAGATTCCTCAAGCTGCACAGCGTGGCCAGAAAAAAGAATGTCAATAGAATGACATATTTCAATGTATTCAGAGGTCTTCAAATTGGTCAGAGAGTTTGGAGATAAATAAGTGATGAGCACACACAGCTCAGGTGTAAAAACAGTTACAGAGTTATAATACAAACCCTGAATATTGGTTTAACCAAAAACCGATGCAAATACGCTGGAAGAACCGGGGAGAAGCATCTGTATGGGTGCAAGTTGTGTACTTATGGAGGGTGGAGGGGGAACGTGCAAGAGACCTAAAATGTCATCCTATATAGTGGGGGATCACTAATATAATACCTCACACTGAAAAATAACAAACAGCAGCATAAGCATATTTTAAGTAAGTATAAAAATCAGTACTCGAGAAAAGAGATGAGAATCGCCTTTAGGGAGCAGTGTAATAATATTATTCCTAATTTTACACTTCATGTAAATTGGAAAAGCCTTGCAGCCATTCACTGGAAACAACTCAGGGACTGAATATAAAAACTGACAATGGGCAGACCTTATAGGACAACTCCAAGCCACAACCTCTGCAGCAATGAGTTTAGAACACCGAACTAAATCCCCGCAGTTATCTACCCAGAATGGGTAGGACTTGGTCGATGATTGCCAACATCCCTATTTTTGGTCCCTACTTCCAACTCAGGACCAACCAGAGAAAGCCAAATATGTTCCCCCAAACAATCACATAAGATGTCCGCTGCTGGGCTTCCCTGGTGGCGCAGTGGTTAAGAATCCGTCTGCCAATGCAGGGGACACAGGTTCGAGCCCTGGTCCGGGAAGATCCCACATGCCACGGAGCAGCTAAGCCGGTGCACCAGTGCTACTGAGCCTGCGCTCTAGAGCCCACGAGCCACAACTACCGAAGCCAGCACGCCTGGAGCCCGTGCTCTGCAACAAGAGAAGCCACCGCAATGAGAAGCCAGCGAACCGCAACGAAGAGTAGCCCCCGCTTGCCGCAACTAGAGAAAGCCCGCGCGCAGCAGCGAAGACCCAATGCGGCCAAAAATTAAATGAATAAATTTATTTTAAAAAAAAAGGATGCCTGCTGCTAGTTGGCCAGCCTCAGCTTCCTCATGCCAACAATGTCCAATCAGAGAGCACCTGAAGCCTTATTTTTTCACTAGAAAGCTTTCCCACTATGAACGTCTGCCTGCACCTCTGCCAGACACAAGTGATGGTGGCTGACTCCCTTGCTATAGCAAGCGCTGAATAAACAGCCTGTTTGTTTTTCTCTTTTGAGTGGTCTTCGTTCATTTCCACAACAACAGCACAATGAATGGCTGTGATAGAATTATACATTACTGTATAGAAACGCAAATGAACAAGTACAGCTACGTACACAAACACGTTGAAAGAAAAAATGGCAAAGAATACAGAGTATTTCATTTAATTTCCTTAAATCAAACAGAAAGATATGCTCCCAGCATTGGCAGATTGGCTCTGAGTTGGGGCACTCGTTCAACGCCACCTACAACTCTGCCTCAGCCTCCACCTCCTGCACTTATGAAGCCTAAAGGTCACTGAGCGTACAGGCCTAGGGTACCCCCAGGTCTTTGCTGAGACCGCGTCTAGTCCTGGGCATGCGCCTGGCCTTCTTGATTCCCTGGTTTACTCCAGAGTCCTTCAAAGCCTTAACCCGCCATGTACCTTCCTCTCCAGGCTTTTCAGTCTGTCTGCTGTCCCTGACCCCAGGCAGACGTAGGTAATGTTTTTAAAGCCCTTAAGAGTTCAGAAGGGGCAAAACAAAGGCAATCCCTGAACTGAACCCTCAGGGAACTGCCAGACAGGTCAAAACACACTACCCATGATCCCGAGCACTGTATTGGCACTTGCCGAAGCATCAAGCCACAGCAAGAGCACAAGTCACTTGTGGCCTTAAGCCGGGTAAGCAAAAACACCAAAATCCTCCTACCAAAATTTAGTAGCCTCTTTCTTCATTAAGCGTGCCCCAGTTGTTTTAAGTTTTATTAGATTTGTTTCAAAAAGTTGATTCTAACAGTTTTTCTCAGCTTACTACTTGCCTCAGAAGAGGGATGGCTCTTTGCATCTCCCTACTCTGCCATTTGTCACTCTCTATGTAACCTTTTGAATTAAATCTTAGAAATGGAGGGCAGATTAGTGGTTGCCAGGGGTTGGAGGAATGATGGAGAGTTGAGTGGCAGCAGAAGGGCTCTTCGGTGTTGGAGTATCTTGCCTGTGGTAGACATACGCCCCTACACAAATGATAAGCTTTTTGGAATTAAATACACACATGGTACAAGACTGGGGAAATCTGGATAAAATTGGTGAATTATATCAATGGCAATATCCTGATGGTGATATACTATAGTTTTACAAATTGACATTGGGGTAAGCTGGAACAAGTGTACAAGGGACCTCTCTTATTATTTCTTACAACTATATATGAATCTATAGTTATCTCAACAAATTTCAATTTAAAAATTCAAAAGATTCAGATTAAAATGAGGAAGTACAAGGAATACAATTAATTACCCAATTTATTTTGCTTTTCTTTTTTATGCACCCACAAGTTATACGATAAAAATCTATGCTTACATAAATCTATAACAGCTTTTAATTAAAGTAAAATAAAATTCTAATTAAGAAAAAACCATATTATAGTATAACTGATAGTGATGTTTTTAGTGGCACATAAAATAACTAGGCATCTTACAGTTAATATCAACGTAGATTTGATGACTTAGGGTATGTTTGGAATGAGGTTGACCAACTGACTGGTCTGTTTTGGCTCATGCCGTCGGCTTTGGCACTAACCATCAAAATGTCTGCAATACACACGGTTACAGTAACTAGTGGTGTAACAGGACAGACCGAGTCAGGAAACATTATCCACATTTCTATTTATTATACGTATAGGACAACAACTTCAGGAACAATGAGAAAGTAATGTATAAAACTTTCATAAAGAAATACAGGTTACAAAATAATCATTTAACTTTTTAAGCAAATGCTTAAGCATTTTCATGCATTTGTTAAATAAAGCATACATAACTCAAAATGCTAAATAATTCTAGTTTTCGACTAAATCCTCTAAAGAATATGTTGGTGAAAACTCAAAACTGTCTAATAAGGTATGCATGATCTTGTTTATTTAGTATTTATCACAGTCGTCAAAATGATCATGGTTAAAGTGGCAGGTGTGGTGGTGGTGGGATGAACTGGGAGACTGGGACTGACATGCATACACTAATACATATAAAATGGATAACTAATGAGAACCTGCTGTATAAAAAAATAAATAAAATAAAATTTAAAAATTCAAAAAAAAATGATCATGGTTAAAATCCATTTAAGCATTTACAGAATACCATTTAGGCCCAATATTTATCTAACTAAATGAAAATATCAGAGAAATGGATATTTATGGCACCAGGTTATAAAGAAGCTTTATTTAAAACCATCTTTGTCAAAGTTTTAACACTAGAACAAAAATCCAATGTACCTAAATGAGACATAAGCTATTCTTAGTAGTAGTATAAACTCTGTCCTATGGGTATTACTATTTTCAAGTTTTTTCCTTTATATGAAAGTACCAAAAGAAAAATTTAAGTATAACTCACAGATTACTTTGTATATTTATCATTCTATAAGCAAATATCTTAGTAATTAATATTTTAAGGCCATAAATCAAATCATTACCCCTTATGTCAAAGGCCTATTCACTGATTTAGAAACTTCACTTTTATGTGTGTCATGGGGTTGAAATCAGCCCACAGACACAGAATAGGTTAACAGCAATATATTTTTTCTCTTACCAGGCTTTCACCTTTTTATTGGAACAGGGTTTGGAGGTAGGAGTTTTGAAAGCACTAGGGTTCAAAAAATTAATTTTTTTATCAGAGTGAAAAGATTCTTAAAGAATACAATGATGGTATATAATCTTGCTCTTACAGCACAAATCCTCATATTAAATGACTGTGCCGCAGAAAAATACTGTAATGCTTTAAACAAAATTTTAAGCTACATTAATGACCACGAAGTTTCACGCAAAATGCAGGAATCAAAATGTTTAACTGCCGTCTTATCGGGCTCCACAAACACACTCAGTCTTCATCGTCCGAGTATATCAGCTTCAGCTTCTTCATAGTCCTCCATCTGTCTTTCAACATGACGCTTGTTCGGTTGTTGAATTTATAATGTGATAGTATTTTAGACCAATTTCCCTCTCCGTATTTCTTCACGCCAGATCTCAGATTCTTGTCTTCTTCCCAAAGCCATGCCTTTTGATGAAAAGTAAGACAGTTATTCACAGAAACAATTATGTTTTTTTCAATTGAGGTATAAATGACAAATAACATTTTATTAGTTTCAGGTGTACAACATAATGATCCAGTATTCATATATATTGTGAAATGATCACCACAATAAGTCTAGTTAACATCCGTCAAAAGCAGATAAAACGTAGAACAGTTATTCACAGAAACAATTCCTTAAATAACATATCTACTATAAATACAACTTTTTTTATCAGTATCATGTTACAATTTCTTAACGGTGGAAGAAATTCTGTAAACATATCTTAGATTTCTGTAAGGTCTTATTGTGGTGATGTTGTCAAGGGTCCTGACTGTGTTACTGTTCATTTTATGTGAACACACTATGGCTCAGCTGCCCAAGATCAGACAGCTACAAAACGACGGGGCTAAACACAAACCCAATTCATCTGACTTTAAGCCCACACTGTCTCTTAAGATGCTTTTCTACAACTGTTAATAGATTAGAGATATGTAGGATTCACAAATACCGAGAACTTATGAATATTTAATTCTTCCCTAATGAACTCAGTGAAAAACCCTGTTCTGTCTATGTTGGGCAAAGTACACACACACATAAAACTCAAATCTTCTCTAAAACAGATTTTTGAGAACTAACACAAACTAGTTAAAAAAACACGATTTTGTTTTTGGAGGAAATGACTGAAGAATTTTAAAAGTCAGATTCATTATTATACACAGAAAAAGACTGCTGACACCTGGCATTTGCTATAGGTGACCAACTAGCCACCCCTTCTGCCGACACGCTGAGGAGCAACACGATCGCCTGAGTGATTATTTACTGTTTCTGAACGATGAATAATCTCCCCGGCTGACTCACGTCTGCTTTAAAAATCCACTCTTCATCAGTCACAAGGAGCCAAATACCGTAAGACCTCACTTGCCCGAGATACCTAGAGTAGTCAAATTCCCAGAAAGAGAAAGTAGAATGGTGGCTGCCAGGGAGTGGGAGGAAGGGGGAAATGTCTTCTGAGTGGAGTGTTTCAGTTTCGCAAGGTGAAAAAGTTCCAGAAGTTGTTGCACAACAACGTGAATGCATTTAATGCCAGTGAATCATACACTTAAAAATGATTAAGGTGATAAGTTTTATGCTACGTTTTACTACAAATAAATAAAATTTTTTAAATGAGCAAAGGACTTGAGTAGACAATTCTCCAAAACAGATATACAAATGGCCAATAAGCACTTGAAAAAAATGCTCAACGTCACTAATCATTAGGGAAGTGCAAATCCAAACCACCAGGAAATGTCACCTCAAACCCATTAGGATGTCCACCATCAAAAAAACTAGAAAATAATAGGTGGTGGCGAGGATGAGAAACTGGAACTCACGTGCTGTTAATGGGAATGAAAAACTGTGTGACTGCTAGGGAAAATACTATGGTGGTTCCTCAAAAATTAAAAGTACCACGTGACCCAATTCTACTTGTGGGTATATATCCAAAAGAACTGAAAGCAGAGACTTGAAGAGAAATTTGTACACCCTTGTTGATAGCAGTATTACATGTAATAGCCAAAAGGTGGAAGCAACCTAAGTGTCCACTGATGGAGAACTGCATAAGCAAAATGTGGTATATAAATACGAGACATTATTCAGCCTTAAAAAAGGAAGAAAACGCTGACACGTACTACAATGTAAATGAATCTTGAGGACATTATGCTAAGTGAAACAAGTCAAACACAAAAGAACAAATACTGTAGGATTCCACTTATATGAGGTACCTAAAACAGTCAAATTCAGAGACAGAAAGTAGAAAAGTTGGTTGCCAGAGGCTTGGGGGGAGGGGTGAAGGAGGAGTTATTGTTTAATGGGTACAGAGTTTTAGTTTTGCAAGATAAAAAGAGCTCTGTAGGGCTTCCCTCGTGGCGCAGTGGTTGAGAGTCCACCTGCCATGCAGGGGACACGGGTTCGTGCCCCGGTCCGGGAAGATCTCACATGCCGTGGAGTGGCTGGGCCCGTGAGCCATGGCCGCTGAGCCTGCACGTCCGGAGCCTGTGCTCCGCAGCGGGAGAGGCCACAACAGTGAGAGAGGCCCGCGTACCGCAAAAAAAAAAAAAAGAGCTCCGTGGATAGATGGTGGTAATGGTAGCACAAGATGTGTTTAATGATGCTGAACGATACATTTTAAAATGGCTAGGATGGCAAATTTTGTTTTGTGTATTTTATTACAATTAAAGAAAAAAAGAATCCAGCTCAGCTGTCTGATACACTATCAGAGAGAACCTCCAGATGCTTGTAGACAAACGTGAGATGAAAACTATCTTGTGTATGGCTCAGGGCCATAAGATTGGCAGTGTCCATCATTATACCTCTTGTGGGTCTGAGCCGCCACCTATCAGCAACTGTGCTGCCTACAAGGACACGGCTGATCAACCTCTAGACAAAGGCATTTTTTTGCGGTATGGAAAAAAAAAAAAAGATAATGTATTTCAGGACACAAGCAAAAACTGTGCCCTTAGTACTATTCTCTTTTGTCTTTTGCTTTACTTGAAAAATAAAAAATAAAGTCAATTAAGAGAATCATAACAACCCTAGCCATGCCCACAACTCAAGATACAAACAGCATACAACAAATTAAAATGCACCAATCTTTTCTTTCCGTAAGGTTAAAAAGTTTATATTACTTATACTTCAAAAATTGTGTATCATTTCCAGTGCCTTTTAGAGGAAAAAACAATGCTTCAATAATGCTTTAAAAATGGTATTTACTTACACCAATGGAATCCTTGGGTTTAGTGCTATGTCAGTAAATGGCAGAAGCATTTTACAGTTTCTGATCTGTTGAAATGTACACATTCCAGCCTAGTTTGGTCTATTTTTAAAGCCTGATTTGGTGTGAATAATCAAGTAGAAAATCTAAACTTGGATAATATGTAGTGAGCAACTACCTTTCACTGGTCCAGATAAATCATTTCAAAGACCTCTATTTAAAAAAAAAAAAAAAAAGACCTCTATTTTAGATCATAAATAGTAAAGTCTATACTTTTGTTTTTTAATTTTTGGCTGCACCCCACGGCATGTGGAACCTTAGTTCCCAACCAGGGATTGAACCTGTGCCCCCTGCATTGGAAGGCAGAGTCTTAACCACTGCACTGCCAGGGAAGTCCCAGTAAGTCTATACTTTGGAGAAGGAATTGTTTCTCACAAGGCCACCGGGTAAGCTCTATGCTTGCTCTACTGCTTTCGCCATCGATGACTTGGTGACTCAAAGGTGTGCCCCTACTTGCCCCCTTCACTTTCCTCAGATGACGGGGAGCCAGAGCTAAGGGCTCCTCGCTTTCCCATGATGCAAGACCTTCAGACTGGCTCCTTTGTTCAGGAATATGGAGATCTTAGCCTGTGATGCTGAGGAGGCTGCTGCAGGCCCAATGGTGCCAGAGACTGAAGTGTTCCAGAAACCAGGAACCATAGTGGTGCCCAAACAGAAAGAAACCCTGTGTGTGTCTCTGAGACTAGAACCCGCCAGTTTTCTAACATTTACTTTCTGCCTCAGAGGAAAGATATAGGAGGCAAACATAATCACATAAAATACTAATTTTAAAAAAGCAGCTGCATTTAGAGACCCGATTCCCAGTCTTCACTGTAAACCACATATTTCTGTGGGCTCATAACTGAATATTATATATTGGCACCATCCAACTCAGGACATTTCTTCCCACAGGCCAACTGGATTCTTTCCCCTAAACAAAAAGTTTTTATACTGAGCAGACGCTGTGTCACGACTGTGGTTGTGCAGTTCTTATATCCTCTAAACTTCACAGGTTCATAAAACAGGAAAAAGTAAACTACCAGTCTGAAAGCACAGCCCATTCTCCCCATTGTTTGCAGTAATGTGTGGAAGTTATTTTAAACAGTGTGCCCTTGTGTTGCTCAACTCTAGCTGGCCCACCAACCCAGGTTCCATGTTTAAACATCAACTGATTGTGAGAAGGGACTTTGGAAGAGCTTTATAAACTGAAATATCCTTCCATTTCATCACTCAGATTCCTGAACAGGAGTTGGGAACAATGCTTTTTCATCTTTCTTATCCTCTCTTTTTTCTCTTACTGTGAAAAATAACAGGCAACCTCAAGTCACACATTGGACCCACTGCCTGCTGAGACAGGATTGTGGGTTTCTTGGTCACACCTGTGTAGGTGCTCAATGTAGTGTAGACATGTTTTAAAATAAAACATGATGTATATTAAAAAATGATATCATTTGTAATTTAAAAATTACTGTATCGTGGGCTTCCCTGGTGGCGCAGTGGTTGAGAGTCCGCCTGCCGATGCAGGGAACACGGGTTTGTGCCCCGGTCCGGGAAGATCCCACATGCCGCGGAGCGGCTGGGCCCGTGAGCCATGGCCACTGAGCCTGCGCGTCCGGAGCCTGTGCTCCACAATGGGAGAGGCCACAACAGTGAGAGGCCCGCGTACCACAAAAAACAAACAAACAAACAAAATATTGTATCGTAATTCCCATTATATACCATCTACGGGAAAAAAGTCTTTATTGTAGAAAGGCTCTTACTTTTCTTCTTGAATAAAGTTACAAAAGGAAGGCCTCTTTTCAAACTGTGATGAGGCAGGCAAAAATATCTTTGTCTGTTTAACATACAAATGCAGCGAGAAGAAACTGTCCAAGAAGAAACTGTGCAAGACTACTGCAATAAAAAATTTTAAAGAACCAAAAATCTCAACACAAAGTAAGATAAAATCATTTACTCATCTGAAACAAATTATCCCACCAAAAAGCCAACAGTGGAAAGCTAAAAATAAAACCAGACACAGAATTGTTTTTTGACATAGTAAATAGTGATAGATGATATCACCTGTATTCTATGTTATGTAGTTGATATTCCATATTTTGTTTCAAATACAAAAAAGACAGAACCTTTTCTTGATATATACCTATAAATAACACCTATAATCCCATTTAGAATTGTTGCCAGAAGAACAACAGGGAAAGATAAAATGTATGAGGCAGAGACTTCTGGATTTTAGACCAACCTGGAGAGCTTGGAAATATCACCCCAGTCGTCATAACAAGAAAAATGGTGAACAAACTGTAAAGTCAATAACTCTTCCTAGATCCATCAGAAAATTAATGTCACAGGGCAAACAGAAAGGTGGATACAGAGAATCATAGATTACTGGAAGCAGAAGGCCAGGAGAAGCAGCTCACAGCTGGGGCCAGTACTGGGAGGAACATTTAACTGTGATGGACAAATTGAGGGAGGCTCATTGTGAACAAGCTTGAGTTAAAAACTCCAGGGGCCCAATCTTAGGGGGCCCACAAACTTGTGAGTTTTCTCTCCAAAATCCCCACCAGGTTCTCATGGTGAAGATGACAGAATAATCTCCTCCTGCTTCGAGCAGGCAGAAGAGGAAAATACCCATTTCAAAATACATCCAGAGCATTCTGTTCTCATTAACAAAGCCTGCCCTTGGACTTACCTGGTGGCGCAGTGGTTAAGAATCCACCTGCCAACACAGGTTTGAGCCCTGGTCCGGAAAGATCCCACATGCCGCGGAGCAACTAAGCCCGTGTGCCACAGCTACTGAGCCTGCGCTCTAGAGCCCGCGAGCCACAACTACTGAAGCCTGCGTGCCTAGAGCTCGGCTCCGCAACAAGGGAAGTACCTGCAATGAGAAGGCCGCGCACTGCAATGAAGAGTAGCCCCCGCTCGCCACAACTAGAGAAAGCCCGCACGCAGCAACAAAGACCCAATGCAGCCAAAAATAAATAAATAAATTTATTAAAAAAACAAAACAGGTGCAGGAAGCTCAGAGAACACAAAGAAAGATAAATACCAAAAAATCTACATCTTGGCACATCATATTCAAAGTGGGAAAAAAATCAAAGACAAAAAATAAATATGACTTTTGGTTGCATATAGTAGCATAAGGTCAACCTTTCCTCATTCTCCTTTGGGAATTCACCCAACAGCAACAAGGAAAGAAATGAAATCCCAAACTCGTAAAATTAAGAGAACCCTTTGGCCTGAACCATAACATAGGTGAATGGGGTCCATTATTGGTGGAAACTGACAAAAGGTATGTGAAGAAGTGGGGCACAGCCACTCTACCTATAGATCACAGAAAGCCCGTGGCATACACTTTTCCAAAGTAAGGAACATATCCTGAGGTGTACACCTTAAATCCCTGGTCTGCAACAGCAGGAGCCTCTCTCAACCAGCATTACCTCCAAAAAGTAGAGGTGGTGGACCTAAATTAGGAATCATGCAGACAAGCAATAGTTGCAGGAAGCAAACCAAAAACTGGAGTTGACTGCTATGTTCCCTGCGGGAGAAGGCATGGTCAAAATAAACTTGAGTCACAGGAGATATCCCTAGTAACCTAGAACTTGACCCTAGCCTAGCACCTCAACAACGAACCATTTGCAAATAGCGTATCAAAAAAAAAAAAAAAGCATCTTAAATAAAGAAGAGTAAGAAGAAAAGTATAGGATGATCTTCCACTGCCAACATGATCAAACAAGGACCAGATTTACTCACCTGCTGTGAACAACTAGAAAACCAGATAAAATACAGTAAACAATGGTTTCAGAAACTGGACAGATGGCACAGGACTATAATCACTGAGAGGGCAAACAAATGAAATGAATCCTAAAAGGAACCCATTTTAGCTTTCTGAATAGAAAAATTCTTTACCAAATGATATTTTTTCTTTCTTTTTTTTTTTTTAAAGCACAGAAAAATCTTATTTAAATTGAATCTATGGAGGCTTCCCTGGGGGTGCAGTGGTTAAGAATCCACCTGCCAATGCAGGGGACATGGGTTCGAGCCCTGGTCCGGGAAGATCACACATGTTGTGGAGCAACTAAGCCCGTGCGCCACAACTACTGAGCCTGTGCTCTAGAGCCCATGAGCCACAACTACTGAACCCGTGCGCCTAGAGCCTGTGCTCCGCAACAAGAGAAGCCACCACAATAAGAAGCCTGTGCACCTCAACGAAGAGTAGCCCCTGCTCGCTGCAACTAGAGAAAGCCCGTGTGCAGCAACGAAGACCCAACACAGCCAAAAATAAATGAATTAAATAAGTAAATAAATAAATAGAATCTATGTTAGGAAGATACAAATATAAAAACTTATCAAGTAGATTTAAGTTCCACCCTACATCTGATGAACTGATTTTATGATGACAGTAATACAATAATTCTAAATAAATGTCACTAACATCCAGCTTAAGAAAATCTTTAAAATGTGGGTGAACTTTGAATAGGCAAATTGGTCAACAAATCTAAGATGGCAAAATTAAAGATGGCAAAGAGAAAACATTTTATCCTCCAGATTTTTTAGGGTTGAACAGAAATAATGTGAAATAATCACAATTATTCAAGTTATGACTTTAATATCCATTAAGTATTATTTAATTATAATAAACATACCTGTTTTTTTCTAGGTTGATGTTTTTCAGGAGTTAGACGCTGACTATTTAAAACACGTATTCTCTCGCTTTCAGTGGCTTGCCTACTCTTCTCTTTTTTCTTTCTTCCACCTAAAAGTAGAAATGCTGTCATCAAAAATTGTCTCACATTAAAAGAATTACATAATTTTTTTTTTTGGCCACACTGTGCAGCATGTGCGATCTTAGTTCCCTGACCAGGGATTGAACCCATGCCCCCTGCAGTGGAAGCATGGAGTCTTAACCACTGGACCACCAGGGAAGTCCCAGAAGAATATTTTTAAAGGTTACCATGAAATTCCTATCTACTGGTTAGCTATTTTTTTAAAAAAAGAACTCTGTGTAGTTTTTTTCCTTTGAATCTGGAAGCAGCGTGATATAGTGCAAAGATCAGTCTTTGAAAATCAGGGGTGTGTGTGTTTCCTTTCCAACCTGGACCTGGCAGAACCGTTCCTGCAAAGGGTGTCAAGAAGAAGGGCCATTCTAGGATAGAAAGCCCAGAGATAAACCCACGCACCTATGGTCAACTAATCTATGACAAAGGAGGCAAGGATACACAATGGAGAAAAAAGACAGTCTCTTCAATAAGTGGTGCAGGGAAAACTGGACAGCTACATGTAAAAGAATGAAATTAGAACACTCCCTAACACCATACACAAAAATAAACTCAGAATGGATTAGAGACCTACATGTAAGACCGGACACTATAAAACTCTTAGAGAAAAACACAGGAAGAACACTCTTTGACATAAATAACAGCAAGATCTTTTTTGATCCACTTCCTAGAGTAATGGAAATAAAAGCAAAAATAAACAAATGGGACCTAATGAAACTTAAAAGCTTTTGCAAAGCAAACTACAAACAAGACAAAAAGACAACCCTCAGAATGGGAGAAAATATTTGCAAACGAATCAATGGACAGAGGATTAATATCCAAAATATATAAACAGCTCATGCAGCACAATATTAAAAAAACAACCCAATCAAAAAATGGGCAGGGCTTCCCTGGTGGTGCAATGGTTGGGAATCCGCCTGCCGATGCAGGGGACACAGGTTCATGTCCCAGTCCGGGAAGATCCCACATGCCGCGGAGTGGCTGGGCCCGTGAGCCATGGCCACTGAGCCTGTGCATCTGGAGCCTGTGCTCCACAATGGGAGAGGCCGCAACAGTGAGAGGCCCGCGTACCGCAGGAAAAAAAAAAAAAAAATGGGCAGAGAGAATGGACTTGAGGACACGGGGAGGGGGAAGGGTAAGCTGGGATGAAGTGAGAGAGTGGCATGGACTTATGAATATTACCAAATGTAAAATAGATAGCTACTGGGAAGCAGCCGCATAGCACAGGGAGATCAGCTCGGTGCTTTGTGACCACCACCTAGAGGGGTGGGATAGGGAGGGTGGGAGGAAGACGCAAGAGGGAGGAGATATGGGGATATATGTATAGCTGATTCATTTTGTTATAAAGCAGAAACTAACACAACACACCCATTGTGAAGCAATTATACTCCAATAAAGATGTTAAAAAAATTAAATTAATTAACATAAAAAAGATGTACAATATTGTAAACCTTGACAATGTAAAAGTAGGGTATAGAGGACAGCAGTGAGAAGGCAGAAAACGTGCGTAGAAGAAAAGTGAGGTGAAGGAGTGGTAATTTCCTCCTTTCACATTATAGGGAGTCAGGAGGTATTATCTAAAATAAAATAAAATATAGCAGTATATTATTTCGAGTTATAAAGACAACCAATAGTAGATTTAAAACTAATAAAACTCTGGAAGTGAGTTTTAAAGTTCCTAGTTTAAGAGCAATTGTTGAAAGAAATGCAAATACAAACATATTATTTAGAATTTATAGTAGTACCAACCAGAAGTAAAAAATAAACTTTTAAAACAGTTATATCTGCTATAATAGGGCAACACAAGGTATCCTTGCGGTGATGCAACTGCTTTATATCTTGGTTGAATCAATGTGAATACACTACTTGTGATACTGTACTACAGAATTGCAAGGTGTTGCCCAGTTATACTCTTAATTCTACCAAAGACTCTACCAAGCTAATATATTTACTTTTTTTTCCCCCTTTCCTGAGGTATGAGTGACAAATAAAATCGTAAGATGTTTAAAGTGTAAAAGAAAAAAAAGGGCAGAAGACCCAAACAGACATTTCTCCAAAAAAGACATACAGATGGCCAAGAAGCACATGAAAAGATGCTCAACATCACTAATTATTAGAGAAATGCAAATCAAAACTACAATGAGGTATCACCACGTCACATCAGTTAGAATGGGCATCATCAGAAGAAAATCTACAAACAGCAAATGCTGGAGAGGGTGTGGAGAAAAGGAAACCCTCTTGCACTGTTGGTGGGAATGTAAACTGATACAGCCACTATGGAGAACAGTATGGAGGTTCCTTAAAAAACTAAAAATAGAACTACCATATGACCCAGCAATCCCACTACTGGACATATACCCAAAGAAAACCGTAATTCAAAAAAACACATGCACCCCAATGTTCACTGCAGCACTATTTACAATAGCCAGGTCATAGAAGCAACTTAAATGCCCATCGACAGACGAATGGATAAAGAAGATGTGGTACATATATACAATGGAATATTACTCAGCCATAAAAAGGAACGAAATTGGGTCATTTGTAGAGACGTGGATGGATCTAGAGACAGTCATACGGAGTGAAGTAAGTCAGAAAGAGAAAAACAAATATCGTATATTAACGCATATATGTGGAACCTAGAAAAATGGTACAGATGCGCCAGTTTGCAGGGCAGAAATTGAGACACAGATGTAGAGAACAAACATAGGGACACCAAGGGGGGAAAGTGGGGCAGGGGGTGGTGGGATGAATTGGGAGATAGGGATTGACATATATACACTAATATGTATAAAATAGATAACTAATAAGAAAAAAAAATATGTGTTTAACTAAACTGAAGTACAATTCTGACAAACTTTTTGACAGCAGCAGTAATTAGGTTCTGTAATAGGTCAGCTTAAATATAATTCCCAAGATCCTTAGTTAACTTTAAAATCTAGTATAAACGGTAAGTATAATTTTGGATATCTGGGTAATTTCTAAGTAAGACAGGATGCTCAAACATATCATGAGGTATAGTCTGTATCTAGCTTTGCTTCTTTTTTTTTTTTTTTTTTTTGCGGTACGCGGGCCTCTCACTGTTGTGGCCTCTCCCACCGCGGAGCGCAGGCTCAGCGGCCGTGGCTCACGGGCCCAGCCGCTCCGCGGCATGTGGGATCTTCCCGGACCGGGGCACGAACCCGTGTCCCCTGCATCGGCAGGCGGACTCTCAACCACTGCACCACCAGGGAAGCCCTCTTGATTCTTTTATGCCTTTAAACGTCATCTCACCTCCTAGTGCCTGCCTTTTCATTATCTGTTTAAAAAAGGAATAATATTTACCTTATAGAATTGTTGTAATTTCTTAATATAATGTTTAAGGAGTATTTGACACAGTGTAAGAAGTAAACCCTTCCCTCTTTCCCTCTTATTCACAGTTTAGTAAGACAAGAAATAAATGTATATGCAACTCAAAAGAAACAGAATGGTAATTATTGAAAGAAAATTGTGTGTACAGTTGACCCTTGAATAACATGGGTTTGAACTATATGGGCCCACTTATACACGGATTTTTTTTTTCAATAAACATAGTACCTGTATTTTCATTTTACAGATCTTTAAGTGTGGGGAAGAGTTTATGTTCGATTAGCGATCACAATATGTGGAATCAAAAGAACTAGGGTTTGAGTTCTGATTCTGCTGTTTCAGCTTCCTGCCCTCAGGTGAATCACTTATCAATTCTTTTGTTTTTGAGGCAGAGATAGCAGGATGCATTGACTGCACAGGAGTCGGTGCCCCTGATCCCCATGCTGTTTAAGGGTCAACTGTATAGAAAACCTAAAAGAATATACACATAGAATTAAAAAGGGTTTAGCAAGGTGGTTGCATATAAGATCAATAAACAAAACTCAACAGTGTTTCTGTACATTAGCAACAGTTAAAATATTTAACTAAAATAGTCAAAAGATAATATTTACAATAGTAATAAAATATTTAACATTCTTAGGGATAAATCCAGCAAATACAGTCAAGATCTGTATGTAGTAAATTATAAGCTTTACTATATATATGCGTGTGTGCATGCACATATACAAGTTATAAGAATATATATATGTAAGACAATCTAAATAAATAAATATGCTTTTTGTTCATGTAGAGGAAGACAATATAATTGTGTCAGCTGTCTCCAAAATTGTCTACTAGGACTTCCCCAGTGGCGCAGTGGTTAAGAATCCGCCTGCCAATGCAGGTGACAGGGGTTTGAGCCCTGGTGCTGCAGAACAACTAAGCCCATGCGCCACAACTACTGAGCCTGCACTCTAGAGCCCACGAGCCACAACTACTGAGCCTGCATGCTTCAACTACTGAAGCCTGTGAACCTAGAGCCCACGCTCCGCAACAAGAGAAGCCACCGCAGTGAGAAGCCCGCGCACCGCAACGAAGAGTAGCCCCTGCTCGCCGCAACCAGAGAAAGCCTGTGCACGACAACGAAGACCCAACACAGCCAAAAATAAAACTAATTAATTTAAAAAAACAAAAAAAGAAAACTGTCTACTATTACAATGTAATTTTAAATCAAAATTTCAACAGGGTTCTTTGTAGAATTTAACAAGATTAATCTAAAATTATGTATTAGAAGAGTTAGTCCATCATGGGCCCTGAGCATCCCTTCAGTTCTTGCTGAATGTACAACAAGGCTTACTCATTCCCTGATACTAAACAGTTTCTACAGTTAGTCAGGAACCTAAATAGGTCAAGGGAACCACGGTCTGACCACCATGTAACTAACTCTCTCCAGGGGGAGGCAACTGGATTATTTGCTACGTTTTGCTTGCTGCTTACTCTAAAAGTGCCCTTGGCCCCAGGTTCCTCCTTGCAGTACAACCTACTGCCTGCAGAGCATCTACCTGGGCCCACTACACTGTCTTTGGGACCTGGCGAGGGGAACCAGCACAACTACGCTGATGCCATATGCTGTTGCTATCTGTTGTGCTGTAATAAACCGTCTTGTTCTGACCCAAGTCTTGTTGTCTACTTTTGGCACCTATGGAGTGGTAGCAGCTTCACTGCTTGCAATCTTCTATAAAGTGGTTTTCTTCCCCCTGACAATATGGAAGACCAAAACACCAAGAATACTCAAGATACTCCTAAAGAATAACAAAAAGATGAAAGAAATTGCCCTATCACACACTGAGTTATTACTAAACTACAGTAATTGAGACAATATGGTATCAGTGCAGGAACAGATCATATGTGTTGGTGAGGTTAATGGAAACCACACCAGTTATTTTGAACAGAGATTTTCATATTGGGAACTGTTCTAACAGGTGCTAGAGGACCAAAAAGGCAAAAATAAATTAACGGAGATTAATAATTAAGAGAAATTCATATATAGGTGGAGATTTCAATACTTCTCTCTCAGTAATTAGTGAAGACAAAAAATAAGCATGCATACAGAACACCTGAGAAGCACTATGAATCAATTTGATCTAATCGACATTTTATAACACTCCACTCAACAATAGCAAAATTCACATTCTTCTTAAGTGCACATCAACAGTCACCAAGACAGACCATATTCTGGGCCATAAAGCAAATCTTAAATTAAAAAAGAAAAAGAAAGAAATCCTCAAAGCATATTCTCAGGTTGGAACCGAATTAATTGGAAATCATTAATAGACAGGTATCTAGAATATCCTAAAATTTTTGGAAATTAAACAAAGAGCTGCTTCTTTTTTTTAAAAATAAATTTATTTATTTATTTTTATTTTTGGCTGCGTTGCATCTTTGTTGCTGCACGCGGGCTTTTCTCTAGCTGCGGCGAGAGGGGGCTACTCTTCGTCGCAGTGCACGGGCTTCTCATTAGGTGGCTTCTCTTGTTGCAGAGCACGGGCTCTAGGAGCACGGGCTTCAGTGGTTGTGGCACTCAGGCTCAGTAGTTGTGGCTCGTGGGCTCTAAACCGCAGGCTCAGTAGCTGTGGCGCACGGGCTTAGTTACTCCGCGGCATGTGGCATCTCCCCAGACCAGGGCTCGAACCTGTGTCCCCTGCATTGGCAGGCGGATTCTTAACCACTGTGCCACCAGGGAAGCCCAAATGAAGAGCTTCTTAATAGCCCGGAAGATCAAAGAAAAACGTCTCAAGGGAAATAAAAAAATATATTTTGATGAAAATGGAAATATAACATATAAAAATTTGTGGGATGCAACTAAGGCAGTAATTAAAGGAAAATTTATAGCATTAAATGCACATATTAGAAAAACTTGGGCAACTATGAAGAAAAAGCAACTCATATACAAAGGGGGAAAAAGTCAGGTTGATGTCAGATTGTCCACAGCAGCGCTCATAAAGTGAGAAAATAATGGAGCAAAATCTGCAAAGTTGTAAGGAAAAGTATTTCCAAAGAATACTACATTTAGCCAAAATTTTTGTGCTAATCTCACCCATTACAGCTGAAATCAATCAGTAGTCTAAAGTTGAAATTTAGTTATAGAGGCAAACTGACCCAACCTATCAAAGCAATTCATATTATTTATTCTTCATTTTGGAGGAATCATATGGCTTACTGATATATTTCTTACGAAACAGCATTTATGTGAAGTTCATTGAATCCTTCAGTTTCACCTTCAAAAAATTAAATGTAAATATATTTTAAAGTACATATGTAACCTCATCACATTTTTATAAATTTTTATTTGCTTTGATTCTATCTATTCTTCCATTGAGGCAGTCTATCTATCTCAGTATTTAAGGACATGGGCTCTGAAGTCAGAAATGTCTGATTTCAAATTCTGGCTCTGGTTCTGTTCATGACCTGTGTGACCAAGGGCTTTTTACACTTAACCTCTTTTTGTCTCAGCTTCCTCATCTGTAAAATGGGAGTGATTAAAAAAAAAAAAAGTACTGATCCAGATTGTTTTGAGGATTGAGTTTATAGATAAAAAGCTTTTAACTCAAATATTAATCATTTCACTGAATGCTGGTGAGACTTTTCTGCATAGAAAGCATTTAAGTGATTTTTTTTCAATTTTTCTGAATTACTTGATTTTTTAAAAGTACATAGCAATTTTACAAAACTGAAAAAAATTGTTTTTAAAAGATGTCTAAAAAAATTTTTTTTTAAATGTTTAGCATGAACGAAATAAATATCCTCTATTAGGAAAAAGAGGATACCTAGGTAACATTTAAGCAACTTGGACTTTTTTGGAAGGTATATGTATATATTACTAACATCTAACAGAAAGTCAAGAAATGTACTAAAACTCACAGGATCTTCTAGGTTCAATATCCATAGTCACTGTCAAGCCACTCTACAATGTGACAATGGTCTTCATTGGTACAATTACTGATCAGCTAGAGTGTAAAAAAGTGTATGCTTCCATTTCTTTGAACTTTGTATTATGAAATTAAAAGTCCAGGAAAATCCCCAAATTATTTTACTCTAGAATTATGATTCCTAGTCATTTTGCAGCTAGGAACTCCACCAACATGAAGCAAATATTTCTTTGAGTTTAACTTTACCATCTTTAAAGTGAGGACGATGATAATATCTACAGATGTAAATGTTTTAGAGCTGTAATTTACAAATACTAGCTAACAGTGGCCCTATCATCAGCCATCAGCTAAGAATAAATTTATTCAATTAATATTTACTTCAGGCATACTATGTACCTGGAATCAAGTTGGTACATCTATTATTTTTATACTGATCAGTAAGTATTTAGATTTGGATCAATAAAGTTTAAAAATCCTTGCATTAGAACATAGTACGGGTTCAATAAACATTTTTTGAATGAATATATACCAAGGAGGAACTTACAATTATATTATAATCGAAAATAATTACAGACTGCTTTTAAGATTTTTTTTTTTTGGTTATTGTTGCTTGTTTTTTAAATCTAGCAATGCCTTTTATAAGGATAATAAATTCTAAATGCAATGAGGAATAAATTCTAAATGCAATCTGCAATGCCAGAGTCTATACATAGTCAATCCTCATTATATTCATGGATTCTGGTATTTGAAAATTCACCTACCTGCTGAAAGTTGTAACAAAAATCAAAACTTGCAGTGCTTTTGTGGACACTGGTGGACACGCACAGAGTGGCAAAATATTTGAGTTCATGTTCCCAGCTGAGGTTAAACAAGGTGAAGCTCTGCTTTCTTATTTTAGCTTCCAGGCTAGAAATAATTGTTCTTTTTACGGTCTATTTAGTGCCATATTTTTGTGCTTTTTTGGGGGTAATTCTGCTGTTTAAAATTTTCCCCAAGTGTATTGTGGAAGTGCTGTCTAGTGTTCTTGAGTGCAAGAAGGCTATGTATGATGTTCCTTACAGAGAAAAATATGTGGTTAGGTAAGCTTCATTCAGGCGTGAGTTACAGTGTTGTTGGCCTGGGTTCAATGTTAATGAATCAACAATGTATATTAAATAAGGTTTCTTTAAACAGAAACAGGGACTTCCGTGGCGGTCCAGTGGTTAAGACTCCGTGCTTCCACTGTGGGGGGCACGGGTTCCATTCCTGGTCGGGGAACTAAGATCCCGCATGCCACATGGTGCGGCCTAAATAAATAAACAGAAACACATAAAACAAGGTTATGTATTGAATAGTTGACCAAAATGTTGTAACCATAGGCTCAAAAGAACCTAACCCTGTATTCCCCTGTAATCATTCAGTATTCACTAAGTGTTCACAATGACCTTATAGAACATTACTGTAAATAACAAGAACCAACTTTAACTTTCTAAATTAAGCACCACCTCTAACTATCTCTTTGAAGTCATGACATTTAATCCCTTCGTGCTTTAGTTTTCTGATGTGTGTTTGTGTGTTGTGGGGTGTGGTCAAGGGCTGGATCGCTTTCAAGTATCGATTCTCCACTCTGAAAACTGTAATAAATGTACTTACTTTGAAGAGTTTCCGCTCTTTCCTCTTTCTTATCAACATCTTGTTGTCGGCTTCCATGTTTCAACTTAGATAAGAAGAGATTTTTGTGAGACCTAAATGAAACACAAAAGCTTGTGACTTGTTCTGCAAAGACTAGAAAAGCTATAGAAAAAGGTAGATGATTTGTCTCAATCTCTATCCAGGACCTGCCTCTACTTTGGTCTGTTTCCCTTTGGTGCTCTCCTTGCACTAATGCCCCATCTTTTTTTTTTTTTTTTGCGGTACGCGGGCCTCTCACTGCCGTGGCCTCTACCGTCACGGAGCACAGGCTCCGGACGCGCAGGCCCAGCGGCCACGGCCCACAGGCCCAGCCACTCCGCTGCACATGGGATCCTCCCGGACCGGGGCACGAACCCACGTTCCCTGCCTCGGCAGACGGACTCCCAACCACTGCGCCACCAGGGAAGTCCTAATGCCCCATCTTAATCTTTAGCCTCTTAAGATTTTTCTTCTTCAGACTTCCCTCTCTCCCATTTATTTTCTCCATCTCATCTACTCAGAAATCAAGATTCTTTTGGCATTCCAATTAGAGAAATTCCAAAATTCCTTTATACATGATGGTAGTTATCACTTATCTTCATAGATTCCAGAAAGGGCTTTCTGGAAAGGTAAGACTGTTTGGAAATACAGGATGTGACAGAATTTTTTGACAACCTGCAATGTTCGTATTATTCAAACTTACAAAGGAACAGACTAAAATGGAAAAAAAAAAGTTCAGCTAAGCTTAGGCAGCTATTTTATCACCACCTAAAATCTATACTTTGACCCCTGTAAGCGCTCTATGCAACCTACTAATGCTTTCCCGCCATCCCCAAACTTTCAACTGTGCTCTCTGGAATGCCAGTCTCAACTTCGTCGTCTGTCTAAAGTCTAGCTCTCCCCTGGGAACAATATTTCTCTCCTTTGTGGCCTCCTTAAGTAGAGATTAGCTTCATCTTCCGCAAACCACAGGCTCCGAGAGGTGGGTCTTTATACTTTCCATTTCCTAATGGATGCCACCTTCAGGATCCTGCTTCCACAGAAATCTTAGCCTTTGAGGATTCATGCCACTGAGGTGTATCGCTATCTACCATGCTCCATAATCTTTCACTATCCTTCCAAGCACCTCCCATGATTCGCAGATCTTTCTCTATCCCCGAGTGCCACCATCACCATGAATTATTTCCGTGTTTCCATGGATAACCCAGATAACAAACTGGCCCCTCAACTCCTCATCTCCAGTGACCTCCTCCACACCAAGTCAGCCACCCCCGCCCCACAGTTCCATTTAGCATCCCAACTGCTCTACACTATGAAATCATTCATGCAGACGTTCTGCTCTCTGAACATGTTACATTGTCTGTTATAGCATTTCTAATAGATTAAACAGCTTTTTAAGTAATTTCATAAAATCGCAATTTGGGGCATTCATCAGAAATGTAAGCTCCATCCCCTTCCTGCCCCAGCATCACACCCTTGTTTCTGACAGAATAAGAGTTTACTAATTATTTGCTTTAAGTCCAGGTACTCCCTCCACGTGCACTCCTTGTAGAAATAATGTGAAACAACCCAGGATCCCAAGACGCAGGTCTCCATAGTTTGGCTTTTCAAGACCCATCAGGGTCTTAAATATTTGTGGAGGTAAGTAGGACCCTGCGATAATTCTTCAAACCATACCATTTGCATGGCAGTTATTATAACCTACCTAGGTTTGCATGAATTGTTTCAAAGATTTTAAACACAGAGAAGAAAAATGTCAATTTACTTCACCTCAATAAGGATACTGTATCCCCTGAGGATTCAGTTACCGCAGACTGTTTGTCACTAACACTTTAAAAGAAGAAAACATTTGTAAGAATGTAAACAAGAGAAACTTTTCATCAGGACTGTACTTTCCACATAATCAAGCCATTTTTCAACTTATAAAACGTATCTCTGGAAAGAAACTCTGGTAAAATTAAGACCTTTACCGTCTATTACAACATGGATAATTTTTGCCCAGATGTGCTTACCAGAGACATTAAATCAATGTCTTCCCCAAACATAAGTTCAGCAGAATTGAACTGTAACTGAGCATTCACAATGTCACTCTTTCAAAAACTCTCTCATGGATCTTTATTTCTATGAATTCAAGTTTAATTTCTTATCCTCCCCAGCAGTCTCCAACCAGCCTTTTTAATAAAATTCCTCCCCTCTTCTATAGTTAAAATTAGCTCCGACAAACACAGCATGACCATCTACAGCTCGATGCCTTCACTGGAACTCTTCCTCTCTCCTGAAATGACATTTCTTCTTCCATCCACCTGTAAAAACCTTAACCATCCTTCAAGGTCTGGCTCCATGTTCACACTTTCTTGAAGCTGTCCCTCAAACTCCTTCAGCATTTAAGTCTATCTTTAAACTTTAACGACAAATTATGTAATGTCTGCTACTGTTTCTGTTTCAAGTCTGTAATTCTTATTGCCTCAAATAGTTTATAAGCTTTACCAGAACAAAATATTTCATCTAGTATTAACAGCACGAGGGTTTCATCTTTCCCGGCATTTGTCGGACCTTGAAATCACACTTCTGTTTCTATCCTTGCTTTACTTACGTCTTATTCATTCTTGCCTTGAAACTGGTGAATTTGACTCCCAGGATGGTTTTGATATTTGCTTGATTCTTATCTTTACCATGTCTCTAGTTTTTGGTTTTTCTCCCTGTGTCTAGTGCACTACAAGATGTAATGCATGCCTGGTAATGAACTACGCACCAAGGATTCAAAGCTATTTAAGAACCTCCAAAAAACTCTCCATCTAGTGAGATAGATAGGTAAACAGATATGTTATTCTCGAAGATAAGTCCTCCTATAGAGGTATGACTTGGTGCTGTGGGAGCACACAAGTGACAACTCTGCTCAGAGCTCAACAAGACTTCTTATAGGTGAAGTTTGAGCTAGAACTTGAATGGCAAATAAGAGCTTACCTTGAAGAGAAAGAAGGAAATCCAAAATTGAAGCAAGAGTCAAGGCATGAAAGAACTTGTAATATTTGAAGATCAAGTTGTATAGCTAGAAAGTGCCATGGATGTGGGCAGGGAGGGGCTAATGCTTAGGGGCAAGGTGTATATGAGGGGGAAAAAAAAAAAAACCACCCAGAAAGGGGCTATATACGGCTTTGAAAGCCATGCAATAAAATCTAATTCATCGGGCTTCCCTGGTGGTGCAGTGGTTGAGAGTCCGCCTGCCGATGCAGGGGACATGGGTTTGTGCCCCGGTCCGGGAAGATCCCACATGCCGCGGAGCGGCTGGGCCCGTGAGCCATGGCCACTGAGCCTGCGCTCCGCAAAGGGAGAGGCCGCAACAGTGAGAGGCCTGCGTATCGCAAAAAACAAACAAACAAAAAAAAAAACCAAAATCTAATTCATCAAGTAGGAAACAGAAAGCCAACAGAGGTTATTAAGCTGGGAAGTGAGTTAAACAGATTTATTTTTATGGGAAGGTAACCCTGGAAGTCACATCAAGAATGGATTTGTGTGGCACAAAGCTAAGTAATAATCTAGGATATAAATGGCAAGAATGGATTAGAGGGGCATTTCTGATATGGAATTCGTAACACTTGGGGAGATAACCAACTGGATGTGTGAGGTAAAGGAGGAGAGTTAGGGTAGAGAGACAGATGAGAACATCTAGAGCTCTGTTTTACACACTGAACTGTGTTTGTGTCTAGGAAGGCATTTGAAATAAGTGGGTAGTACTACATTAGGAGAATACATAGGAAACATGTTCATTATATGCAAGAATCACGGTAAGTTCTAATCTTATTTTACTTTAAGGCAGTATTACAGTAGGCAGGAAGCCTGGGCCATAGAATGCATTGGGTCTTGGTACTACTAAACTTTGATTTCCTAAACAAAATGAAATAACTGAGCCAATAAAAATGAAATCCCTACTTCTCAAAATGGGTCTTAGGAAAAACCCAATGAGCAATAAGACTGCAATAGAGCCCTTGGGGAGATGAAGCAGTGAGGAACAGATCATGCTCTGATAGGCAGGGACAAAAAGAACTGTAAGACTGAGCTCAGTCCTGAAGTGTGACCAATGCCATGTCTATCCAACTCTGACTCCAATCCCCACCTCTCAATAAGTAGTTAAGATGGGGACTTACAGCGCTTACGTCATGGTCCCAAGAAAAGAGTAATATTACATCCACTGCCAAATACATCCATCCAGAGACCAGAAGGATTTGACTATTTGGCCTTGGTTTAAGGGTGGATGAAGAGGAGGAATGGACCACAGGTTCAGTAGAAAAGATCATTATAATGGTAGAGTTTATCTTCTTCAGTAGGGTTAGTTTCTAAAGCAAAAGGTAAAAGCCAATTCTGTAAAAATTACCCTTGAAAATCCCTAAAGAAGAAATAATTTTAGAAACTGAACTCTCGTCTCTCAACTTGTAGGACTGACACAGGTTTGTTTCCCTCCCGCGCTGGAGCAAATCACTGTTTCTGCACTTGCGCACCAGATGAAGCAGTTAGCCTACCCTTAGAGAAGATGAACAATATTTTAACATATTAGAATAACCCTCAGTACCACAGTCACATGAGGGCATGTAGGATTTGAGAACTAAGGGGCACAGATGACTCAGGCTTTCAACATCAACACTGTTCTAGAGCTCATGTTCCCTGAGAATGATAAATGATGTCACTCACACTAGCTACACAGTGCTATTTTCTCTCTACTTTTGCTTAGCATATGTAACAGAATATGCGTAAGCCCTAACTCTACAGCACTCCCAAACATCCAAATGTTAGCCATCAGTAACGCAATATACCCACTACTCGATAATCATTTTTATTAACAATGGTTCGCTAGCATCACTTTTACATAGATATTACATTCATAAGACAAAAAATATACTAATGAATTTACAAACCTTTCTCCTATATCCAAATTAGCTTCCGTTTCCAATTCAATATCATTACTATTAGGTTTATCTTGAGAAGCTGCTGTTCTTGCTCTTTTACTTTCCACTACTTTTGCTGCTGCCTTAAAAAGGGGGTTGCAGGAGACGAAGGGATGCATTAAGACATTTAAAACAAGTAACATTTAATTAAGCCTTCTTGTTCTTTGACAGTCATAACCCAAGTGTCTTGTCACAGGTCAATAAAGGGCAGTGCATTGTTATTTTCCTCAGTAACTATGATATCACCATCAGCAACCTGCTTGGTTAATAAGAATTATGGAGAAGGGCTTTCCTTGCAAAGGTACTTGATACAGACAATGCTCTCTAGTCAGTGTTAAGATAAAAGGTTACTCTAAAAAAATTTTTTTAAAGATTCTATGTATTTTAAAATAAAACTATCTCAAATTAATGCTCTCGTATAACATATTAAGTTAAAACTTTTTGAGGCTAACACAGGATAAGGTGTAAAAAGAAAAATTTTAATGACCCTTCTTCAGTCCAATTTGACTTTTCCCAAAAATATGCTAAAAATTTCATTTAAATTTAATTAAACTATTTATTTTCACTTATTTCTTAATTCATTTTGATAACTTTCCCCTCAACTTTCTATTTTGAAAAATTTCCCCAACTTTTACTTTGAAAAGTTGTAAAAATACTACAAAGATAACCAATAAACCCTTTAGATCCACTAATTATAACATTTCACCACATTCTTCTACAAAATCACTAAATAAAATTCTGATTAGTTTTGAAGAATTTCTATTTCAAGTATTCTCCTTTATTGTAACAATTACTCTTAAGTCTGTTTAGAATCTCTCTGAAATATGCATACCTTCATTAGAAAGGTTGACGATTTTTCATTTAGCACATAATTCACGTAACTCTTAATTTTCTCCATCATGTGGTTGTAGCTGAAGTGTTGAAAAATGGAATGGAATGTATCTTTCTGAGAGATTATCATAAGCAATTTCCTTTTTAAAGGCTAAAGAAAACAGAAGAAACTTACTAGCACATAAAGCACAAATAAAATACTAGAAATTTTGTCATATTATTTAATTGAAAAAAATCACTTTATAAACAAAAACTCAAGAGGTTTTAAAAATGCTCCCGTTTTAAATGCCCACCAAATATATTTTTTGACTTAAAAAAATTTAATATTTTACACATATGCAAAAGAATTAAAAAACCTTATGAACCTAAATATCCATTACCAAGTTTTATTTCTTAAGAAATAAATAATTATCTGTATAATAGAAGCCTTATTTACTACCATAATCTGATGGCACCCTCCCCCACCCTGGTCTTCCTCTTCTCAAGGTAACCATTATGCTGAATTTAGAACTTTAGCACATCCACGCATTCCTTTACACTTGCACTACATATGTATGCATCCATAAACAATATATATAGCATTGTTTAGCATGGTTTTAACTTCATACCAATGGTGTAAAGCCCTAAATGGTATTTTTGATAAAAGCCCTAAGTGGTATTTTTGATCAATGGAATACTGTACAACAGTGAAAGTAACTAGTAATTCTATAAATATCAAATCAACATGGATGTCAGAGAGTTGAGCAAAATATAGAAAGTTTCGGGCTTCCCTGGTGGCGCAGTGGTTGAGAGTTCGCCTGCCGATGCAGGGGACACGCGTTCGTGCCCCGGTCCGGGACGATCCCACATGCCGCGGAGCGGCTGGGCCCGTGAGCCATGGCCACTGAGCCTGCGCCACCAGAGCCTGTGTTCCGCAACGGGAGAGGCCACAACGGTGAGAGGGCCCCATACCGCAAAAAAAAACAAAAACAAAAACAAAAGCAAAAAAAAACATTTAGGGGCTTCCCTGGTGGCACAGTGGTTAAAAATCCGCCTGTCAGTCCAGGGGACACGGGTTCAAACCCTGGTCCGGGAAGATCCCACGTGCCGCGGAGCCACTAAGCCCGTGCGCCACAACTACTGAGCCTGCGCTCCAGAGCCCGCGAGCCACAACAACTGAGTCCGTGTGCCACAACTACTGAAGCCCACACGCCTAGAGCCCGGGATCCGCAACAGGAGAAGCCACCGCAATGAGAAGCCCGCGCACCGTGACAAAGAGTGCCCCCCCCACCCATCGCCGCAACTGGAGAGAGCCTGCGCACAGCAATGAAGACCCAACGCAGTCAAAAATAAATAAATAAATAAATAAAAGTAAAATTTAAAAAATATATACCATTTATTCACCTTTCTCTCCAGCCTGTTGAAAGCATGTAGGCTATTTTCTATTACCACAATGCTATTAAACATTTTCCTACATGTCTTCTTGGGCACAGTACAAGTTTTTCTTAGACAACAGTTCTTTCAATGCTGGTTGCACAATAAGGCTATAAAGCTTTAAAAAAATTCCACTTCTCAAGCTCTATCCCAGAACAATTGTCACAGTACAGCCTAGTTTTCTTTTTTCAGTTTTTATTTTTTTAATAAAGCTTCATGGTTTTAAAAGTATGCAGTGAAAGTAAAAACAGTTACTCTAGGGTATTTATCTAGAAGTGGCATTGCTGGAATGCATGCTTACTGATTTTGTTAAAATGCTCTCCAAAGCTTAAGTACCAATTTACCCTTCTGAGAGGAAGGTATGGCACTTTTATCATTTCTCCACATTTTGAGCCAACTGTTGGTATGCTAAGACATTTTTAATCATTGCCAATCAGAAGTATAGGAAATGCTATTTCAATATATTACTTGGTATTAACCTGATTATGAATATTAGTGAGGTTAACACTTTCTCTCTTAGGCTTACTGGCCATAAAGTTTCCTCTTCTGTGACGTACAAGTACAGTGGAATTTTCAGTAGTCTCACAGTACTAAGGCAAAAAAGTAAGGGCAGGGAACCCAATAAACATACCAGGCTTCCACTTGAAATCTCAGGAGGGTTACACTGTAGGAACAGGGGCAAATTAGAGATAGAATAAGCCTTACTAAAGGCTCAGTCCTTCAGTGAATTAAGGTGATTCCCTCTCCCCCAAACCACCATGTGAAAAGGTACTCAACTTCATTAATCATCAAAGAAACAGAAATTAAAACCCAATGTGATAGCACTACATATTTGCCTGAATGACTATAATGAAAACCACATATAAGGTCTGTGAAGCAACTGGAACTCTCCCACACTACTGCAGGAATTGATAATAACTACTTTGGAAAATTCTGGCAGTATCTACTAAAACTGAGTATGTGCATATCCTACAACTCACCAATTCTATTCCGAAGTATATACCCAATAGAAACACATATATTTTTTCTACAAAAGACATGTAAAGGAATGTAATGGACAAAATAAGGAAATAACTCAAATGTCCATCCACAGTAGAATGGATAAATTGTAGTATATTCCTACAGTGGAGCAATGAGAATGAACAAACGATTGTTATAAGCAACACCATGTATCTCTCTTACAAATATAAACTTGCTATATGATTCCGTTATATAAAGTTCAGAAATAAGAAAGACTAATCTTGGATGTTACAAGTCAGGATAGCGGTTACCCTTGAGAAGGTGGTTGGGATAGTGCCTGGAGGGTGCTGATGATGTTCTGTTTCTTGATCTAGGAGGTCACCACACAAGTGTGTTCCTTTTGTGAAAATACACCTACTTATACACTTATGATACATGTACTCTACTAAAGGTATGCTATTGTTCAATAAAGAATTCACTAAAAACTGTATAAAACTACATTTCTTTGAATAAGCTTAATTTGCTCTCATAACTTTGTTTTTAATACTGAAAAATTAACTTCTATTGACCTTAACATTACACATACACACAAAAACTAGTGATAACATAAGAAACCTCCAGAAAAATAAGCAAGTTATAATGCATTTCCCTACACCTGCACTGCTCAATATGGTAGCCACTAGCCACACAAGGCTACTCAGCCCTTGAAAGGCGTAAGCCTGAATTTAGCCTTAAGTATAAAATACACCCTAGATTTCAAAGACTTACTACAGTTGTACCTTGGTATCCACATGGGATTGGCTCCAGGACTCCCCTCGGGTACCAAAATCCAAGGATGCTCAAGTCCCTTATATAAAATGGTGTAGTATTTGCATATAACCTACACATTTCCTCACATATATTTTAAATCATATCTAGATAACCTATAATACCTAATACAATGTAAATGCTATGTAAATAGTTGCCAGTGTGTGACAAATTCAAGTTTTGCTTTTTGAAACTTTCTGGAATTTTTTCCCCCTTAATATTTTCAATCTGCAGTTGGTTGAATCCCCAGATATGGAACCCAGGATACAGAGGCTGACTGTACAAAAAAGGGAGTGCAAAATATCTCACCAATATTTTTTACATTGATTGTTAAAAAGAATAATGTTTTTGGATATACTGGGTTAAAATAAAGTGTTACTAAAATTAGTTTTACTTGTTTCTTTTTACTTTTTTAATGTGGCTACTAGGAATTTTTTTTTTTTTTTTTTTTTGCTGTACGCGGGCCTCTCACTGTTGTGGCCTCTCCCGTTGCGGAGCACAGGCTCTGGACGCGCAGGCTCAGCAGCCATGGCTCACGGACCCAGCCGCTCTGCGGCATGTGGGATCTTCCCGGACTGGGGCACGAACTCGCATCCCCTGCATCGGCAGGCGGACTCTCAACCACTGCGCCACCAGGGAAGCCAGGCTACTAGAAAATTTAAAATCACATATGGGACTGGCATTATATTTCTGTTGGACTATACTGTTTAAAAGAGAAAACGTTTCTTTTCTCCTCCAATGTTCTTTCAATTTTCCTTATTCCATATAAACGGCTCCAAACTTCTGATTCTAATTTAAATAATTACCGTATAAGAATTTGGGTCACCAAATATTCTTTCAAAGACTTCTTCTGCTTCCTTAAAATTTCCATTTTCCATGCAAACAGCTATAGCCTAAAAGACAGGATGACAAATACAAACCTTAGATTGCTTTTTAAAATATCTAATTGTTGTTTAATATTGAAATAACTCAGGTAAGTCTAAACTGCTTCATTTAAAATATTCTTATGTAGCTTAATAATTTTGATTTGATAAATGATATTAAAGGCAAGAATTAATAAATAAATCAGGAGCTACATTATATATATTGAGGACCCACCTAAACAGTCATTTTGAGCAAAAGGGAAGAGAGAGAAGGGGTAGATGGATGGTGTTTGTGATGATTAGGATATATAAAAGTTGCTACTTAGGACCCCAGGAAAATCTCTAACAGAAACTCAGGAAGCCAGATGCTTTTGAATAATCATTTTATAAACTGGCCTTTTTTGATACCATATGTGGTAAGATATAGTACCACCATTACCATCTGGGTAGGTTTGTAAACTTGGGAAAGCTATTTAACCTCTTGGCGCCTCCGTTTCTTTACACCAATGTAAAATGGTGAAAATAATAGTACCTATTTCACAGGGCAGTTGTGAGGATTAAAGAGTTATATATAAAAGTGCTTAGAACAGTATCTGGCAAACAGTAAGCAATATATTATTACACGTTTGCTATGTATTTTATGTAACCCGTTCAACTTTACTGGTATATTTAGCAAAGGCCTGCTTCCCCTAGAACTCCAAAAGATTGGGATAACATGACAAATCCCTTTGCCCTGGGTTGAAATTCTTAAAAGCAGCAGTCATTTTTCTGCCGATTCTCTTCAGGTCTTAATTCTAATTGCCAGTCACCACACCGTCAATAATTAATTCCTGAGAAGGTGGGACACCACCTGGATTTTCTCCTACCCAACCATGAAAACTTTTTTAAAAACTAGGAAAAGTTTATTTAACTATGAAATTCCTGAGCACATACTTTGCCTGTAAACAAAACATTTTCCCTGCTATTATATCTTTGAATGACTTTCTTTGGTTTCTCACTCTTTAATAGGCTACTCCTACTAACATTTTCTCTACATAGTTAAAATTTTACATTCTCTTAATTGCAAAAACCCATTCATTTCTTATTATTTGATAATCTTTAGGGACTTCTCTAGTGGTCCAGTGGTTAAGACTCTGCGTGTCCACTGCAGGGGGAGTGGGTTCAACCCCTGGTCACGGAACTAAGATCCCGCATGCCATGTGGTGTGGGCAAAAAAAATATTAAAAAAAAATATAATAAAAGGTAATCTTTAAATGGGAGAGCATAAACCACTGGTTTTTGAAAGTTGTTTAGTAATCTTTAAATAGATTTGGCATATTTTCCAACGTGGGGGCAATATGCACTTAGGTAGAAAACATTAAGTCCCAACAACTCTTAGTCCTCATGTCAAGACAATAAATCATAGGTCAAATTTCTAAAGAGAATGATTATATTATATTTTACTACAGGTTTACCATCCAACTTCTATTAGGTGGCTCTTAGTTTCTTTAGATGTTGTTTTTATTTTCTAGCAAAATAATAATAATAAACACAAAGTAACACTCATACCTGAATTTTAATTAAATTCTGTATTTCTTCATGAAGCTTGTCATGTTCCTTTTCAATTGACGCCCAAATCATCAGGGCTGATTCCAAGGGTGTAATCTGTTCATCACTTTCAAACTGTGCATCTTTTAAAACCAAAATAAAAATAAGTAACTTAGAAAGCCATGAAGAACTTTACTTTGTTAATTTTTTTATAAATTCATTTCTTTAAACATTGACTGAGTGTATACTATGTGCCAGGCACTGCTCTCGTATATACCAGTTTAGGGAAGATTTTTCAAGTTAATTTCCTCATTAAAATCAACTTAAAAAAAATAAAAAATAAAAAACAGAAAAGGCTATATATGAGTTCACAAAACATCTGAAGATTTTCTCTACTAAAATACTGATTTTAAGACCTGAAATAAATTATATTTTATATAAGGTGTCACAATAACAGAATTCTTAAATGGTTTGTAAGTCTAACTGCAGTATAACAAACTTCATTGAGATAGAGCATGAAATTAGTTTATTGTGAAATTTGATTTTCGCATATACTACTTTAAATCCTTGTTATATATTTTGTAGATATTTGAAACAGGATCAATCAAGAACTTATCTCTCTACCAACATTATTCCAATCACCAAAGCTTAAAAACCTAAGGAGTGACTTCCCTGGTGGCGCAGTGGTTAAGAATCCGCCTGCCAACGCAGGGGACACGGGTTCGAGCCCTGGTCTGGGAAGATCCCACATGCCGCGGAGCAACTAAGCCTGTGCACCACAACTACTGAGCCTGTGCTCTAGAGCCTGCAAGCCACAACTACTGAGCCCACATGCCACAACTACTGAGCCCGCGTGCCACAACTGAGCCTGCGTGCCACACTACTGAAGCCCACGCGCCTAGAGCCCAAGCCCAGCAATGAGAAGCCCACACGCCACAACGAAGAGTAGCCCCCGCTCGCCGCAACTAGAGAAAGCCCGCGCACAGCAACGAAGACCCAACACAGCCAAAATAAATAAATAAATTTATTTTAAAAAAACCTAAGGAGTCACCGTTTTACTCCTTCCTCTTTTTCATCACCATATACCATTTGTTGCGATACTGTATAGTGGTTTTTAAAACTTTGGAGTTTATTCCAGACTCTATCATGTACTACCTGTGTGGTGTTGAAAAAGTTATTTTGCCTTTCTAAGCCTCAGTTTCCTCACCTATAAAATGCTGTAAATGTGGGCTTCCCTGGTGGCGCAGTGGTTGAGAGTCCGCCTGCCGATGCAGGGGACACGGGTTCGTGCCCCAGTCTGGGAAGATCCCACGTGCCGCAGAGCGGCTGGGCCCGTGAGCCATGGCCACTGAGCCTGCGTCCGGAGCCTGTGCTCCGCAACGGGAGAGGCCACAACAGTGAGAGGCCCGCATACCGCAAACAAAACAAAACAAACAAAAAAATGCTGTAAATAAATACAATGTGAATACTTAATGAGATAATATTTGTACTACTGTTAAACTTTCTTAAAATAGAATTTATCAGCTTATTCTTATCAAAGACTCGCAGTGGCTGGTAACTACTTAGCAAATTACACACAAACATCTCCATTTGAAATTCAGGGTCACGTGTAGTTGAAAATCCAATACATAAACTAAAATTAAGTTTTAAATGCTGCCTCTCTTGAAATATAGTGATTCTTGATCACTGACCCCAGCCTATTATATCTAAGATGCACCCTGGTGAATTTCAAGATTAAACCATGGGGTCACACACAAAACAGGGATTTTTTTTGCACCCTTGTTTTGAGAGAAAAAGTTGTTGGAAGGGAAAATAAGAATATAATGAACAACTGCTATATGTGAAGCCCAGCCAGGCACTTCTAGAACATTCTGTCACATTTAATTTACCATACAGCTCTATGAACCATGTTAGCTTATGGTCTACATCGGCCCGTTTTCTTCCTCTGCCACCAGCCCAGCCAGCCTACCTACCTACCGTCTTCCGCACGTCTGCTTTGTCTCTAGCCCTAATCCACTGACTGTCCGGGTCCAACTCACCCCCACAACACAGCACACCACATGAGCCAGAGCTGGATGAGTGTGGGCTCCCAGAGCGGTCCTAATAGGGTGGGAATTCCTGCCACCCAGTCTGTTTATAAGTGAACAGTTCCGTGCGATTACGGCCCACCACTGGAGACTGCCAGGAAAGCATTTTGTAAATTGTAAAACCCAATATAAATATGGAATTATTTGCATCAAAAGGTCCTTTACAACCTGGAAGAAATGGACAAATTCTTAGAAATGCACAGCCTGCCAAGACTGAATAAGGAAGAAATAGAAAATATGAACAGACCAATCACAAGCACTGAAAGTGAAACTGTGATTAAAAATCTTCCAACAAACAAAAGCCCAGGACCAGATGGCTTCACAGGCGAATTCTATCAAACATTTAGAGAAGAGCTAACACCTATCCTTCTCAAACACTTCCAAAATATAGCAGGGGGAGGAAGACTCCCAAACTCATTCTACGAGGCCACCATCACCCTGATACCAAAACCAGACAAGGACATCACAAAGAAAGAAAACTACAGGCCAATATCACTGATGAACATAGATGCAAAAATCCTCAACAAAATACTAGCAAACAGAATCCAACAGCACATTAAAAGGATCATCACACACCATGATCAAGTGGGGTTTATTCCAGGAATGCAAGGATTCTTCAATATACGCAAATCAATCAACATGATACACCATATTAACAAACTGAAGGAGAAAAACCATACGATCATCTCAACAGCCGCAGAGAAAGCTTTAGACAAAATTCAACACCATTTATGATAAAAACCCTGCAGAAAGCAGGCATAGAGGGAACTTTCCTCAACATAATAAAGGCCATATATGACAAACCCACAGCCAACATCGTCCTCAATGGTGAAAAACTGAAAGCATTTCCACTAAGATCAGGAACAAGACAAGGTTGCCCACTCTCACCACTCTTATTCAACATAGTTTTGGAAGTTTTAGCCACAGCAATCATAGAAGAAAAGGAAATAAAAGGAATCCAAATCGGAAAAGAAGAAGTAAAGCTGTCACTGTTTGCAGATGACATGATACTATACATAGAGAATCCTAAAGATGCTACCAGAAAACTACTAGAGCTAATCAGTGAATTTGGTAAAGTAGCAGGATACAAAATTAATGCACAGAAATCTCTGGCATTCCTATACACTAATGATGAAAAATCCAAAAGTGAAATCAAGAAAACACTCCCATTTACCACTGCAGCAAAAAGAATAAAATATCTAGAAATAAACCTACCTAAGGAGACAAAAGACCTGTATGCAGAAAATTATAAGACACTGATGAAAGAAATTAAAGATGATACAAATAGATGGAGAGATATACCATGTTCTTGGATTGGAAGAATCAATATTGTGAAAATGACTCTACCACCCAAAGCAATCTACAGATTCAATGCAATCCCTATCAAACTACCACTGGCATTTTTCACAGAAGTAGAACAAAAAAGTTCACAATTTGTATGGAAACACAAAAGACCCCGAATAGCCAAAGCAATCTTGAGAACAAAAAACGGAGCTGGAGGAATCAGGCTCCCTGACTTCAGACTATACTACAAAGCTACAGTAATCAAGACAGTATGGTACTGGCACAAAAACAGAAAGACAGATCAATGGAACAGGATAGAAAGCCCAGAGATAAACCCACACACATATGGTCACCTTATCTTTGATAAAGGAGGCAGGAATGTACAGTGGAGAAAGGACAGCCTCTTCAATAAGTGGTGCTGGGAAAACTGGACAGGTACATGTAAAAGTATGAGATTAGATCACTCCCTAACACCATACACAAAAATAAGCTCAAAATGGATTAAAGACCTAAATGTAAGGCCAGAAACTATCAAACTCTTAGAGGAAAACATAGGCAGAACACTCTATGACATAAATCACAGCAAGATCCTTTTTGACCCACCTCCTAGAGAAATGGAAATAAAAACAAAAATAAACAAATGGGACCTAATGAAACTTCAAAGCTTTTACACAGCAAAGGAAACCATAAACAAGACCAAAAGACAACCCTCAGAATGGGAGAAAATATTTGCAAATGAAACAACTGACAAAGGATTAATCTCCAAAATTTATAAGCAGCTCATGCAGCTCAATAACAAAAAAACAAACAACCCAATCCAAAAATGGGCAGAAGACCTAAACAGACATTTCTCCAAAGAAGATATACAGACTGCCAACAAACACATGAAAGAATGCTCAACATCATTAATCATTAGAGAAATGCAAATCAAAACTACAATGAGATATCATCTCACACCAGTCAGAATGGCCATCAGCAAAAAATCTAGAAACAATAAATGCTGGAGAGGGTGTGGAGAAAAGGGAACACTCTTGCACTGCTGGTGGGAATGTGAATTGGTACAGCCACTATGGAGAACAGTATGGAGGTTCCTTAAAAACTACAAATAGAACTACCATATGACCCGGCAATCCCACTACGGGGCATATACCCTGAGAAAACCATAATTCAAAAAGAGTCATGTACCAAAATGTTCATTGCAGCTCTATTTACAATAGCCAGGAGACGGAAACAACCTAAGTGTCCATCATCAGATGAATGGATAAAGGAGATGTGGCACATATATATAATGGAATATTACTCAGCCATAAAAAGAAACGAAATTGAGCTATCTGTAATGAGATGGATGGACCTAGAGTCTGTCATACAGAGTGAAGTAAGTCAGAAAGAGAAAGACAAATACTGTATGCTAACACATATATATGGAATTTAAGAAAAAAAATGTCATGAAGAACCTAGGGGTAAGACAGGAATAAAGACACAGACCTACTAGAGAATGGACTTGAGGATATGGTGAGGGGGAAGGGTAAGCTGTGACAAAGTGAGAGAGTGGCATGGACATATATATACTACCAAATGTAAAACAGCTAGCTATTGGGAAGCAGCCGTATAGCACAGGGAGATCAGCTCAGTGCTTTGTGACCACCTAGAGGGGTGGGATAGGGAGGGTGGGAGGGAGGGAGACGCAAGAGGGAAGAGATATGGGAACATAGGTATACGTACAACTGATTCACTTTGTTATAAAGCAGAAACTAACACACCATTGTAAAGCAATTATACTCCAATAAAGATGTAAAAAAAAAAAAAAAGGTCCTTTAAATAACCATGCTGTAAATATTAGCCATTACTGATAAACTGAACCCAGCCTGGCCATTACAACCTAAAATAAACTATGAGGGGCTTCCCTAGTGGCGCAGTGGTTGAGAATCTGCCTGCCAATGCAGGGGACACGGGTTCGAGCCCCCGTCTGGGAAGATCCCACATGCCGCGGAGCAACTAGGCCCGTGAGCCACAATTACCGAGCCTGTGCATCTGGAGCCTGTGCTCCACAACAAGAGAGGCCGCAATAGTGAGAGGCCCGCACACCGCGATGAAGAGTGGCCCCCACTTGCCGCAACTAGAGAAAGCCCTGGCACAGAAATGAAGACACAACACAGACATAAATAAATAAAAGAAAAAAAAAAAGAATGATCCATGCTTTAAAAAATAAAAATAAATAAACTATGAGGACAAGGGAGAGAGAGAATTATAGTTATAAAATCATATTCCCTTATTAAGTAAGTGCTAAAATCAAGCTCAAATAAGAGGTTTCAAATATCATTGTTGCCAGTTAGAAAAAGAGTATGCATGATAGCAATAGGAGTCACCACAAAGTTACCATAGCCCCATTTAGTGACATCTTTAAGACAGAGTACACATGGGCTTCCCTGGTGGCGCAGTGGTTGAGAGTCCGCCTGCCAATGCAGGGGACACGGGTTCCTGCCCCGGTCTGGGAAGATACCACATGCCGCGGAGCGGCTGGGCCCGTGAGCCATGGCCGCTGGGCCTGCGCGTCCAGAGCCTGTGCTCCACAACGGGAGAGGCCACAATGGTGAGAGGCCCGCGTACCGCAAAAAAAAAAAGACAGAGTACACGGAGCATGGTCCCCCAACAGCAACATCAGAATCACCTGGGAACTTAATAGAAATGTAAACTCCAGGGCCCCTCACTCACCCTACTAAATCAGAAACTCACAATGGAGAAGGGGACTCACCATTCTGTTCCTTAACAAGTTCTCTAATAATTCGGAAGCAAGCTAAAATTTGAGAACCATCACTCTAAGAAGATAGGGATTATATTTCCTTTACTAGCTTTAAGTATGTCTGTGTACAGATGTACATGCCAAATACACGTGAGCAAACTCGCAAAAACAAAGGACTACTCCCATCTCTTTCTTCTCATTGTCTCCCCTTAGACATAGATTGAAATATGTCCAATATAAGATAAAAACATATTTACCAAGGGTTTTTCCAGCTGCAATTCTTGTCAAAAATTGACATATGTATATAGTTCTCAGTTGGTAAGCTGTTAGACTGGACAATCCATGAATAATAGCTGAAAGTGAAGAAAGTGAATCTTATTAAAACATCAAAACAAAACTCCAAACTTGACCCAGCAGTGCCTCTGCGTGGTTTGCGGAGAAATAAGTTACAAATATCACCCAAAGATTATCATAAATTTAGAGTGTATGCTTTATTTATAGACAATTTTTAGGAAATCAGAACAAAAAAGAATAACAATGAAGACTTTTCCTTCAAAATAAAACTGATGTTTCACAGGCAGAATAATAAATCTTGAAAACTACGTACTTTCACAGGTAGCAGTCTAAACTAAATGAAAAGGGAGATTTAGATCCAAACTGTAAAATGTGTCAAACCATTACCTGGAATCTTACTTTATACCTTAAAATGCCTAATATTATAGGAAATATATTATTTCTGTCAAGGTTTCAGTTAAGCGAGAGTCTGTTCAGTTTACGAAGCTTTATTTTAAAAACATTTATTAATGTTAATCTCCCCAATATTTGAACACCCACCCAGATGTTATGCTAGGTAGTAAGTATATACAACACTGAGTAAACCATAATCCTGGTTTTCACTGAATTTACCATGTAGCAATAAAAGACAAAGACTAAATTAACCAGCAAACAAAAGAACAGTCCTGCAGCTGCTAAGCAGATGAAACAAATAAATACATTTATTTGTATTTATTTCCTCAATTTTAATATGCCATAACCTTACGCTACACCAGAGATTATCTGGACCAAATATAGTCATAATATAATTAAATAGGATTCAAAAAGAGCACAAAATTTATATAAAATTTAAACACAACTTATTCAACATGGACTGAACATCTACTGCTGGCCAGTGGTAGGGACTGATGTCTGAATAATAAGATAGCCAGTCCCTGCTGCTCAGAAGGTTTTAGTCTGAGAAGGCAGGAATTAAACAAAAAATTATGCAAGAGACTAATTAAAATTTTAATGTGTCATAAAGGGTAAGTATGGTATAGGAGCAAAACAGAAGAAAGACCTATTCTAGGGAAGAAAGTCAGATTCTTTCTGTCTTCACTTCCCTCCATATTTAGTCTACGTATGCAATAACTACAGATACCCTACATACCACTGCCCTTCTGCTCTTTGTACCTGTTAGGCATAAAACAAAACAAAAACAATGAAAACCTACCCTGATTGAACCTGGCTATCTGCTTTTTCCTCACCTGTAACCAAACACTACATTAGGGAGGATCTAATGACCAGCAACAGTAACAACTATATTTAAGCACTTAACTATAATACCAGGCACTACTCTAAGCGCTTAGCAGTGGTTCTCAACTAGGGGTGATTTTGTCCCCTAGGAGACATTTGGCAATGTCTGGAGACAATGTTTTTTTTTTTTTTTTTTTGCGGTACGCGGGCCTCTCACCGTTGTGGCCTCTCCCGTTGCAGAGCACAGGCTCCGGACGCGCAGGCTCCGCGGCATGTGGGATCTTCCCGGACCGGGGCACGAACCCGTGTCCCCTGCATCGGCAGGCGGACTGCCAACCACTGCGCCACCAGGGAAGCCCCTGGAGCTATTTTTGATTGTCACGAGTGGGAGGGGTGCTACTGGCACCTAGTGGCTGAGGTCAAGGATCCTACAATGCACGGGAGAACCTCCACCTCATTCCCCCTCCACCCTCAAGCATACACAGAATAAAGAATCATGTGGTGCAAAATGTCAACAGGCTGAGGCTGGGGAACCTTGCTTTATACATATCAGTTCATCTGCTTCTCTCAACAGCCCTTTGAGGTAGATGCCATTATTACTACCATTTTACAGATGAGGAAATTGTAGTACCACGGGAACTGGTGATACCAAGTCATTGCTTCAAGTCTTATGGCTATAAACCAGCAGAGCCCGGAATCAAACTCAGACAATTTACTATGGAGCCCATGCTCTTAATTACAATTCTACACTGCTTCCCACGGTGGAGACAGGTTAGGAATATCAGTCTGGAAAAGGCATTATCTGAGATAAGTGAGGTGGGAGAATAATTCTGAGTTGGAATGAAAGAGCTAAGAATTTTCTAGGAAGCATCAGAGTTGTATATGTTTACAATCTTGAAAAGCGTAGTAAATGAAATTCTATAAGAGATAAAAGGGAGTCCTTTTAGTCAAAAATGGAATACTGAGACAATATTATGTTCACAGTTTGCATATCTGTTTTAGCAATGCAACCTGAAAAAGTTTACTCTTTCTGGGTTTCTGTGCCTTTAACCTTCAAATAATGGAGATGACCTAGATTACTCCTTGGGTCTTGGGCTAGAGCCTTACAAGGTCCTTTTTTTTTTTTTTTAAATAAACTTTACTTTTTAGAATGGTTTTAAATATACATAATGTAGTGAAGAAAGATAGTAAAGAGGTCCCATATACCCTCTACCCAGTTTACCCTGTTATTAGCATCTTGCATTAATTAGTATTCCATGTTACATTAATTAACCAATATTGATACATTAGTAACTAAAGTCCATGCTTTATTCAGATTTCCTTAGTGTTTACTTAATGTCCTTTTTCTGCTGCAAGACCCCAACCAGGGCACCACATAACATTTAGTCATCATGTCTCTTTGGGCATCTCTTGGCTATAACAGTTTCTCAGACGTTCCCTGGTTTTGATGACCTTGACAATTTTGAGGTATTTTGTACAATGTACCTCTCTATTGGGATTTGTCTGATATTCTTCTCATGATTAGACTAGAGTTATGGGGTTTGGGGAGGAGGGTCACAGAGGTAAAGTTCCATTTTCATCACACTGTATCTAGCGTACATGCTACTAGCTATCACTGCTGACGCTGACCTTGATTACCTAGGTGGGCCAGTGTCTGTCAGCTTTCTCTACTTTCTCCCCCTTTGTATTCTGTGCTCTTCGCAGCCCACACTTAAGGAGTGGGGAGTTACGCTCCACCTCGAGGACAGAGTAGCTACACAAATTACCTGGAATTCTTCTGCGTCGGAGATTTGTCTCTTCTTCCATTTGTATATTTATTCCACCATTTATTTACATCAGTATGAACTTTATGGATATTTATTTTATATGTTGGGTTATAATCCAACACTACAGTTGACCTTTGAACAATGCCAGGGTTAGGGGCGCTGACCCTCTGAGCAGTTGAAAAATCCCAGTGTCGGCTCTCTGTATTCCCAGTTTAACCAACCACAGATTGCGTAGTACTGTCTTATTTACTACTGAGAAAAAAACTGGCTTGTAAGTGGACAGGTGCAGTTCACACCTGTGTTGTTTAAGGGTCAACTGTATTTTCTTGCTCGAGTTATTTCCGCTTTGGCCATTGGGAGCCCTTGCGGTTGGCTCCCGTGTCCCTTTGTACTACTCCCATAATTGTGGGATTTTTTTTTGTTTCTTTGGGGGTTTTGTTTTGCTTTGTTTTTAGCACTTTTTTACTTTCTGTTACAAGATGCTCCAGGCTCAACTTGTATATTTCCTGTCCCAGTCCCAGAATCAGGCCATTTGTCTGGAGAATGGTATTGGAAACCAAGACGTGAGTGCTAAGTGTACCCCTTCCTGCTAGGGTTACATTGCTTCTACACCCTTTCATCTGACAGAACAAGGAAATATATGAGTATATGCTGCTAGGGTTACATTGCTTCTACACCCTTTCATCTGACAGAACAAGGAAATATATGAGTATATCCTAACCTGTGTCTATATATGTATAATATGCATTGATATTTCTATATGTTATGAACAGGAGCTCATACTGATATTTCCAATTCAAATTCATTAACACATAGATAATTTTAGCCTCCTCCCCAAAGAGGCCTTTATAATAATTCGAATTATTAAATGAACTGGCTTCATTCCAGGATTTAACTTCCTAATTAATGTTAATTAACCATGGCTCTAGTGTTATCTGTGACACGGAGGAAAGCTTCTTGAATTGGAAGATAAGGCATGCGTCTGGAACAACCCTTTAACCTATCAATGCTTTAGGTTGTTTTAACTAGTTCACTCCTCTATAAACTGAGATTACTTGCCTAACTCAACGGGATAACCGTGAAGCTGAAATGTACCAATACGGTTTTCTGAGGTATTTGATTTCCTACTAAATAGTATCTTGGGGTTGCGTTCGGCTGCAATAAGTTGACGGCCAACTCATATAAATACCAGAGCATCTTTCGGTTATCATTCAAAAAGCCAGCTAGCCTTCTCTAGGCGTCAAGGTCTCTGTCCATCGCTTACAGGCTGTCTTGCGTAGGCGGTCGATTTCATTGTCAGTTACTTTTATTCTGAAGCCTATACGGAGCCAGCGGGCTAAACCAGGTTTAGATAGCTCCCGAAGTAACAGAAAACACTGATGCCTAGGTCACAGTGACTTGTTAAATAAATGCCATTACAGGAGTATCTCTGCCGAAAAAAGCAAGAAACACAAGCGCCACAGGCGACAAAAGGAACTGGACACTGGATTCGGTGCAGTTTTGTTCATTTTAACTCACTTAACCCTCTTTCAACTCTAATGAATCTGAGCAAAACTGAGGAGCTGAGAGGAGGCGGATGCGGGACTGGAACCAACGATCAACTCTGAGCTGGGGGCCCTCCGCTCGGGCGCCGCAGCAGCCCGATCCCCGACCCCCTGGGGGACAGCGCCGCAAACCTGGCCTCGGCAGCCCGCCGCGGTCACCGCCCCCGGCCCGGGCGCGCCCCGCACTCACCCTCGGCGCTGTCGCGGGTGCGGTGGAAGTCGTCCGAGCGGCCGTCACGGAAGGCCCGGCAAAGAGACAGGCAGAGGAAATCGAGCATCCAGCCGGCAGCTACCGCCTCGGCCTCAGCCACCAGGCCCGCGTCCTCCTCCTCCTCAGGGGCCCCCAACTGCATCTGGCACTCGAGCAGTTCCTGGCACTCAAACTGCTCCTGACCATCTCTCGCCGTTTCCGCCATCCGCTCCTCCAGGGAACCTGCATCCTCCCCATCCGCAAGCCCTCGCGGGCTCGGAGCCGCTGAGGCGGTGTTCTCCGCCATATTACATCTCTCGCACTGCTTCTGTCTTTTCCTGCGCGGAGCGACGATTGGCTCGCGCCGCGCGGGGCGGAGCCTCGGAGGGTCTCTTCCGCCCGTGGGAAACCACCAATCACACACCACCGGGATGGGCGAGCGGCTCGAACCTGGCTTCTGATTGGCCGAAATCTGCTCCCGCCTCTGGATGTTGAATTCCCCGCCACCCAAGGGTGCAGTTTTGTTGGTAAACTAGACAAGTTCTGGCTGGATGCGGAGAGAGAACAGGAGGTCGGGGAGCGGGGGACTGCTTTATTCTCGTGCTAAAATGCAACACTGACTAGAACAACAACACGGTTAGTTAAAATGGAAAAACATTTTACCCTCAATGTGCTTCAAAAATGAGATAGGTGATTAAAACTTGTCACTATTTTCCGAGCGTAACACTTTAGATCCTGGTATTCACTTAACAGTTACTGTGCGATCACGAACCAAAACTCTTCCAACAGACTTAGATCCGTGCTTCTCCAACCTTAAGGGGCATCAGAATAAGCCCCTAGGCTTGTTAAAAACACGAATTGCCGGCCTCCACCCCCAGAGTTTTTGTTCTGTAGATCTGGCTTGGGATCCTTGAATTTGCAAGTGATAAGTTCGCAGGTCAGTGATACTGAGGCTGCTTGTCTGGGGACCAGATTTTCCGAATTATCGCTCTAGGAAGAGTATATTATTATGGGAATGAATTTTATTCAGGGCCTGAAATAGACTATAGCATTCAGCTTTACAACAATAAGTGAATACTTATTTTGAATTTTCAGACTTACCTTTGAGCACAAGAGGGCGTTGGGGGAAGGGGGTCTGGCTATGTTCTATTTCTCTATGCGGGTGATAGTTACATCAGTGTGGTCCTTTATGAAAATTCATTGAACATGATCTATGCACTTTTCAGTATGGGTTATAACTGAATAAAAAGTTTCTTTTAAAAACCTTCCTGTGGGCTTCCCTGGTGGCGCAGTGGTTGAGAGTCCGCCTGCCGATGCAGGGGATGCGAGTTCGTGTCCCAGTCCGAAAAGATCCCACATGCTGAGGAGCGGCTGGGCCCGTGAGCCATGGCCGCTGAGCCTGCGCGTCCGGAGCCTGTGT